GGATGGGCCTGCTTTTGAGAATAAAGTTTATCAAAACGTGGCGTAATATCAGAAATGGCTACTCTAACTTCTTTAGCAATATTTAGCCTTGAATGATACTTTGACTTTATAGCTGCCAAAGCAGAAAAGCCCGTCTCGCATAACTAAGTTGTTGCCAAAGGAGTCAGGATCTTCAGTGCTTTTTGGCTCAAAGTTGGGAATTCCTTGCCAATATTTATCCAGATTTCCATCAAAGACAATTCCTTAAATTTACTTTTTAATGAAATATCGCTAGTGAGATCGATGCGTTGTTCTTGCTCATTTGCATTCAGAGATGATGGCCCAGGAGCATTTTCGAATGGATTTTTAATCCAATTAAATTTATCAAAATCATTGCAAAAGTATTTTTTGAAATGAACTTTCAACATTATGAGATGATCAAGTAGGCAGCTTTTTATGTCCATTGGAAGCACTGGATTATCAGTGTCTTGTACCATTGACACCAAAGTAGGGAATATGTGTAGCATGTCACTTTCCATACTGTTTCTCCAGAGCTCTAACTTTTTCATGAATGCCTTCACTTTGTCATTCCAATATAGTACAGCTGCCTCATTCCCTTGAAGTGAAGTGTTGAAGATATTTAGTTTCTCAAATGTATCTGTGAGGTAAGCCATTTTCAATAAAAAATCCTTGTTGCTGAAACTGTCTGCCAGTGAGTGATTTTCCCCATTTAAAAATCAGAACACCTCATGCCTCAGCTTAAACATTCTCTTTAATACCTTGCCTCTTGAAAGCTATTGAGCATCACTAAAAAACAACAGAGCAGTGTGTTCGGCACCCATTTCCTCACACAGCATTTTAAAAAGTCTAGACTTCAGAGGATTTCAGAGGATGTGGCTGCTGCCGAACTATCAACGCTGTCTCTGGCATACGCATTTTATAATTGCCGGTAAAGAGAATAATTATTAGTTATTTTGAAATTCATGATAATTAAAGCCTGTACTCATTAAAAGTTTTTCTATATGTATTTTTATTTTTTGTTACTTTTCTAATTGATTTAGGGCAGTTTTAATTTTTATCTGTAGGAAAGTATGCTGCGCCCCCCTTTCAAGCCCTTCGCCCCCCCCCAGGGGGTCGCTCCCCACAGTTTGACAACCACTGATATACGATATTGGTGAGAAAGTCAGAAAGAAAGAGACTGGTGGGAAGACCAAGGCGTAGGTGGGTGGACAATGTTAAATGGATCATAGGGAGATAGGATGGGATGGTATGGATTGGATTGATCTGGCTCAGGATAGGGACCAGTGGAGGGCTCTTGTGAAGACGGCAATGAACCTTCATGTTCCATAAAATGCTGGGAAATTCTTGAGTAGCTGCAGATTTGGCTTCTCCTCAAGAAGCAAGTAAGTACGTTGTGTGTTCAAGTTCTAAGGTCTCCGATTTTTTTCTCACACAATAATCATACAAAAAATTTGAAACTTCTGTCACTTTTCAACGTAATCTTCCTGCAGCCATACACATTTTTCACAACGTCGACGCCATGATTCCATGGCCGCTGCGAACGCTTCTGTAGGAGTCTGTTTTGACCACTGGAAAATTGCTGATGCAATATCGGATTGAAAAACGGCATCCATGCCTCATCCATTGTTACAGTTGATGAAAAGAAAGTCCCATTCATGCCTTCATCACGTGTCAACATCGCCTGGCAAATTGCCATGTGTGCAGCCTTGTGGTCATCCACCAGAATTTGTGGAACCCACCTGGAGGACACTCTGCATTTGTAGGTCTTCATGCAGGATTTTGTGCACAGATCCCACGGAAATTCCAACTTTGGAGGCGATGTTTACCACACTCAATCGGCGATCCTCCAAAACAACTTTCTCAACTCGCTCGACCATGTTGTCAGACCGGCTGGTGCGAGGCTGAGATTGTTTTGGTTCGTTGTCACACGCCTTCTTTGAACTGTCGCACCCACGAACGCACATTTTTCACATTCATGACGCCATCACCACACGTCTCACTCAACTGGCGATGAATATCAATGGGTGTCGCACCACGCAAGTGGAGAAAACGAACGATTACTCGCTGTTCTTGTAACGAAAACGTCGCCATTTTAAGTGTCAAAAACACTCCTCACTCTCGCGCTGCCACTAGAGTTCTGTGTGCCGTAGAGTGCTGCCATTTCTGTCACGCATTCACAAAGAGTGCACACGTATTTTAAACTAAACTGCATGTGTCTATCTGCTTCCAGTCCTGAGAAAAAAATCGGAGACCTTAGAACTTGAACGCCCCTCATAAGTAAGGTTGATAATACTGGTTGTTGATGATAATTTGGACAGTACAGACTGCAAGAATAAAATATATTGAACTTCCTTGACGTTGATGAGACTTATCCTTTGCTGTTAATTTAATGTCTATGAATGACTGAACAATTGTGAGTGTGGAGACTGTGCATTATGGATGTCTGTGGGTGCAGTATTACTTTTATTTTTCAGGCAGCTGCAGCAGTAATTGAAGCAATGAAAGATAACCACCTGAGTGACGTTGATCAGCAGACACTTTCCTCTCGTGGTACTCTTCTATTACGCAGAAGAGGAATCAATAGAGAAATGAAACTGAAGCTTGTGGAAAATATAAAACAACCACTGAGAGAGCCACCATCTGTAACAATAAAGGCAAAATCGTTGCAGATGTAAGTTAATGCAGCACTTCCTTTTCAGTTGCAGATTTCAGATGGCCTCAATTTTTTATTTATATTCAGTTTCACCAACTATAGCATCCGAGTTTATGTATTCATGGTTTTAATTTGCATAAACACAGAAAACAGTGAGTTCCAAGAAGAACTCGGTAATATTTTTTATTTATTTATTTTTTTGAAGAGACTTCTGGTGTTACAAAATTTGTGTTATTGTCATACTTACATCATGTAAATTTATAACTCAGTAATGCTTTGCAGTGTAGCTCATGGTTTAACATGCTAGATTCATGCACAGATGATCATATAGTCAAATCCTAGTTAAGTCTGAATCTTTTATTGCTTGAAATTATATTACAGGTCATCATCATCATCATCATCATCATCATCATCAGTAATGTGCAGTATTTTCTTTTGGTGGAAAAGTTATTACATAGTCACAAGTATAGATTTCATCTGCAGTAAATTTGCCAGATGTAACCCCAGAATTTGACAAACATTATTTCATATAGATATTAATAGGTGTGTTTATTATATATCTTCATATGAAATTTCGCATGCCACCAGCTGTTCAGTAATTACCACCACCAGACTGAAATATGTATTGTAACGTGTTTTGTCTCTAAAGACGCCGTTCAGATTGTTAATTGGTTTATTTAACAACCTACAAATCGTAGTTACAATTATTTATAACACAGTTGCGGGTTTACCCAATTTATAAACCCTACACTATAATCTATTCACTCTGTCCTCAGTAGTGTACACGTATTCACAGTTCAGTATGGGAGCTATACCAGTGTCACTGTATTACACACTCCCAATACCTTCTCACACTATTGCCTCTAATCTAATCTTCTTCGTCTTCACGATTCACTTGCTACAACTGCACTCGGCGACTGCTACAATTCAACTGACTCCTTAGGCAGCGCAGTTCTCTTATAAACCCTCAGCCAGACAACGAAAAAGCCTCGCTTCCCTGTTTGCCTAATCGCCATGTTTACAGGTGTTGCTGGGCAATACTGCCAAGAGTTGTTTATTGCTGTGTAGCAACCAGCGTGCTTCGGCTCGGCTCCGCTCAGCTGAGCTCACTTCGGCTCTACTCGGCATGGCATGGAGGAACACCGCTTTCCTTACTGATGTGTAACCTGGCAACCGACCGTTTATCAAGGGTCGGTCTTCGTGGTAACTCGATCCACCTCCTGTTGCCCAGCAACGGTTAGACATGTCACACTGCTCCCTTCTTAAGGCTGTTCATCCTGAACAGCCTAATAGTCCATCACTGGTCTTTTCTTTCTAAGGCTATACTTGCAGTGTCTTCTTCTCGTCTGGCTCGGTGTTTCTTTTCTTCCCGTTTCCCGTTCTCCAACTGCTACATCTTCCCCCTTATTATGGTTGCTTGTCTCGAGCAGCTCCATGATAAGGCACGAGCCGGTCAAGGTGTACTACCAACATCCTCGCCCTAGGGTTCTTCTGGATTCTGTATACCACATCATTTATCTGGGTTACTACTATGTAAGGACCTTCCCACGAGGATTGAAGTTTCGGCGATTTCCCTTTCCTGTGGGTTGGGCAATAGAACCAAACTGTGTCACCTTCGTGGTAACCTGTGGAGTTGGCCAGTTTATCATACCGAGTTTTCATCCGGTCACTGGCGAGTTTGAGGTGTTGTCGGGCATAATTGTGGATGTCGTGTAGATGATCCACCAAGTCTGCTGCATAATCGGTTGTGGGTAGTTCCTTGTCTGGGAGTACTCCAAAAAGCAGGTCGCAGGGCAGTCGAAATTCTTGTCCAAACATTAGTCTAGCAGGGGTCAAGCCCGTAGTGTCATGAGTGGATGCCCTGTAAGGTAGGAGTAAGAGGCGTAACCTCTCATCCCAGTCCCTCTGGTGGGATGCGACGACCTGCAAGTGCTCCTCAAAGGTTTTAATGTAGCGCTCCACCATGCCATCTGACAGTGGGTGCAGGGGTGTGGTGCGCGTTTTGCTCACTCCCAAGTCGTTGCATCGACTATTAATACTGTCACAAAATGGACTCACAGCAGATAATGGAACTCCTGCGGAAAGAATTGAGGGCCAAGAGAGAAGCTGCCAAGAAAATGGCTGACGACAGGTTGAAAGCCTGGCGAGAAAAGATGGCCACCATGCGAGAAGAGTTGATCGCAGAAACGAAGCAATCAAAGCAAGGATGAAAACCATGCGAGAAAAAATAGGCACCAGCCACGTGGAGGAAATATAGGAAGAGACGATGGCCTGCCGAGAAATGACGGAGGCGCATCTAGAAGAGGAGAAGCTGGCCTCAGTGGACACGAAACCTGCGGCGGCACAAGAAGAAGAGGTCCCCATAGAAGACGCCATAGTGATACCAGTTGGAGAACCTGAAAAAGAAATGATGTCGATTACCCGAAAAAAGATGATGGCCTGCCAAGAGATGGAGGAACGTCTAGAAGAAGAACAGCCGACCTCACTGGACAGGAAACCTGAGGCGGCAGAACGAGAGGTCCCCGTAGAGGACGCCGAAGTAATGCCATTCGGAGAACCGAAGAAGAAAAGGCGTAGGGACCGAAACCAGTGAAATATGAAGAAACGGACCAAAGGAAAGGATGAGTGCTGAAGAAGACTGGCCTTCGCTGTGTGTAAGTGGCAGGGCAGAAGTGAACCAGCAGGAAGATGTCCCGCCATGCAACAGTGGCATGGCGCAAGAGGAACATCTTCAAGGAAATTTCGACCCCAAAAAAATTGTGGACCGCAGAAGGAAATGACCGCGACCGGAATAAAGATTACACGCTGTGAAGGACATAGGCATATGGGACAAAAGGAAGACAATGCTGAACAAGAAACCTGGAAAAGAAGAACGGGAATATAGAACATAGGCGGCAGATGGCCGCTATGCCAGAAGAAAAAGGTGCCAACCAAGGACGCCATTGGAGCTTACAGATCAGGACAGCGATCGCACCTAGGAGGAAGAAGAACTTGTAAGAAGACTTTCTACGAGATTGTCAGCATGAAGATCGCGAAGCGAATAGTCGAATTTCTGCCAGTGATGATTCTTCTGCTGGAAGAAAACTCGTCTAAATCTTTTTCTGATTTTAAATCATTGTCATGCAAGTTTTTAACCAAGCCGAGGCAGTAACATTTCCATCTATATTTGATTACTGGTTATTAGTTTGAGCTGCCTAAACTTATGATGTGGACCATAAAAGGAGTTGCCTAAGAAAATGATGAATTTAGCCTGTAAAAGACAAGTTTAACATTATGTGACTTCGTTGTTCAGGGTTTTGCTACGTCTTATATTGAAGCTGTTCCCATGTTTCACCATGGCAGTTGCAGTACTGGTGGGGTTGTGAAACACTGTGCTGTCCAGTGGGGGAGGGGGTCATGTAGTTAAGAAGAGACAAGCGGATAAAAGATGTGAAGCCAGTCTTGCTCAATTTGTGTTCATCTTCACAGTTGAAGTTGTGGGAGTATTGTACAATTCAGTGGATTCCCTGGGACTGCAAGACATGTGTATAAGATAATTTTCTTCTCCTGCCTCACATTCTTCTGAAGATGGTGGCTGTAATGCATGCGAAAACGGAACGGCTTCAATGTAAGACAGACAGAAACTTGAAAGCTCAAGTTTCACAATAAATTCAGTCTGCAGGAAACATAAGGACAAGACGTTGAACACTGTGTGGAGGTTTCTTATGTGCAGCACTCAAAAGAAGCCTGTGGGAACTTGTGCTCTCCTTCTGCACCAGAACAGTTTTTGTTCCCTTATGTTAAGCGAGGTCGGACAAATAAAAAGTGGAATGTCAGGCAACTATGTCACTCCATTCTAGGATGAAGATGTAGCATGCAAAATGAAAATAAAAATTGTGAATTAAAGGATAAGTAAATCTATGAACAATAATGAAGGGTGTCGTGGACCTAAAAGTTGGAGAAGCGTGTTTGGAAAATTATGTAATGGTCATCCAGGATTTGTCTCTGAAACATCTTTCTGAACAATTTTCAATAGAGTTTGATCTGTGCAGATGGTGCATACTCTATCAGTACTTGAAATTGAGTGCTGGGTCAAACTTACCTAGCAGAATGGTATAACAGTGATGCTGTAGACTTGTGTTTGAGAGGTATCCATGCTGAATTCAGTCAGGTTGCCTGCTTTCTGTCTGAAATTTCATTTATCTTTTCTGCATATCAAGTGTGTAATGCTATGGCTGCTTTGAGGTAAGTCATGACCACATTTCTAAATACTTCCTGCCTCACTGCCATGGATATCTGATGTAATTCGGCATGTACAGCATCTGCATTTGAAACAGCATCATTAATAAACCATGAATGTGTCTATCCTGATGCAGTGATAAGTAAACTGAAATTTATATATACATTTATTTTAGAATAAAACTATTTATTGTTAAACAAATCAAAGTTACTGTGTATCAGCACTGTATTGTAACATATTTTGTTAGCGGCCTCCGTAGTCTAGAGGTAACGTTCCCACCTCATGACTCGTGGTACGCAGGTTCAAATACCCGGCGGAGGTTGTCAAATCTTTAAGGGCGGAAAAATTCAGGGAACAAGTCCTCCAGGAGGGACTTTAAGCTGTGTGTCCCGTGTCGTAACTTTACGGCACGTAAAAGAACCTCATATCCCCAAAGGGGATCACTGAGCCAAATTCCAGTATGTTTACTGCCCAACAATAGTCTCTAAGGCCTCTGATAGATGGGGGAAGCATTATAGACACCGCTAAGCAAGTGGCCGAACTCGCTTGCTCGGCGGGACTGATGGTACGCACCATTTATCGGTAGGGTATAGAGACTGGTAGAATATCATAGAGGGAAGCACAATAGATCAAACTGGTCGCGGTGCATGGGGAAACCCACCCTCTCTAAATAATAATAATAATAATAATAATAATAACATATTTTGTTGGACCCTACCAGAGATGTCTGTATATATCATACTTTTCAGAAATGCTCCTGGGAGAAAGCAGGTGTATATCCAGGAGAATGCAGATAAACAAGAAATTACATACTCATCAGTGGAAGAATATGCCATATCCCATTATAAATCTGAAGGTTATATAGTAGGTAAATATACTTTCCAGCAAATATTTGACATGATGTTATAAAATAACAATAAATAAAAAACATTGGGTTCAGAGTTTCCTGTACCAGATTGGGGGTCTTTCAGTGGTCCTTAAATTTATGCCATGTTTCGTTAGTGTAGGCCATATAAATTTTAATACTGTTGATTCCCTTGTAAGATGGTAATGTGCATGAGCAGTTGTAAAGACTGACACACTTTTGTGAGGGAACAGTGTTATAAAGAGTATTATCTGCTGGGATGACATACCATTGAGTCCAGTAGATGGCCACTAGCATTTCAGAAGAATGTACTGCCTTCATATTCGGGGTCTCTGCTTACCACATGCTTCTTGCTGGTTGTTGTTTGGCTTACTCCTTGATGCAAAAGATTGCAGCTGTTAGTTCCGGAGAAATGTCAGGACTTTTATTGTATTATGTGAAATTTGATCCCAGGATATGACCCCTTTCTAATCATCACAGTGAGAACCCAGAATTCAATAATCTTTAAATCTTGTTGTGTTCAGTCCATTGTCTACATAGAGCTTATGAAGGCACATAATTTACAGTACTAATTTTTTGCACCTATACTATTGTGAAAGGTATACTGTATTAACATAACTTCATTTACCTGGCTTTCTTATTTTAATTGTAATATCTTTTTACATTTTTTTTCCTGTTTACTTGATTTACCTGGCTTTCTTATTTTTATTGTGATATCTTTATTAATTTCTTTTCTGTTTTTTATTATAGGTATACACGATGAAGGAAGTGCTGTAAATAGTCTCTTTGGGCTGATATTTTGGGATGTTATATATGAACAGCCTGTTGCAGATGTATTTCGAAGTTCTTATCAACGAGAACCTTTGGATTTGAGATCAGTGGAATTTTACAGAAATAGGAAAGAAAAAATAGATGAGAGACTTCAAGATTTGTGCCATTGGGATATGAAATGTGTGAAAGATTATATGGAGAAAATTTTCAAAGAACATGAAGGAAAGGAATCTGTTGTCAACTGGCAAAGATTTCAGAACCTGCAGCAGATTGTTGTAAGTGAAATAAACAGTTTTAGTACCTCTAGTACTCTTCTCCAAGTATAATTAGAATGATAAAGTCAAGGAGGATGAGGTGGGCAGGGCATGTAGCACAAATGGGGAGAAGATGAATGCATATAGGATATTGGTGGGAAAGCCAGAAGGAAAGAAACCACTGGGAAGATCAAGGCATAGGTGTGTGTGGACAATATTAAAATGGATCTTAGGGCCCCCATACACACACAGTTTGGCCTCCAGTTCGGCCTGCACAGTTGAAGACTGAAAGGCAAAACTGATGTGTGTGGTGCGGCCATCTGACCGGCCAATCATTTGGACTGTTGGCCTGTGGGAAACCTGTCAGTTCTATCTGCAGGACCGTAGCACATGACATGTGTGACTTAGGCTGGAAGACCGTGATTGTGGCATGAAGCCTGCCGGTTTACCTGCGCGTGTATGGGGAAGGAAAGAGAGGGGGTAAACTGTGAAAGTTTTGTCTGTAAGGTCGATCAGAAGGCCAAACTGTGTGTATGGGGGGCCTTAGAGAGATAGGATGGGTTGGTATGGATTGGATTGATGTGGCTCAGGATAGGGACCAGTGGAGGGCTCTTGTGAACATGATATGAACCTTTGGGTTCCATAAAATGCTGGGAAATTCTTGAGTTGCTGCAGATTTGGCTTCTCCTCAAGAAGGGCTCAGCTCCATAAGTAAGTACCTCGTAGTATCACATTGAGCATCATGATCAGGTGATTGAGACATAAATTTCAGGTAATAAATGGTACCATAGTGTTAACATAGACAGTCAGTATGGCTGTTGGCAATGGTAAGGTCTAGGGATAGTTCCTGCACCCATTGGATTTCCAGACATCAGGATGTCAGTGCCACTTAGGACATGCAACATTCATATTTCATTTTCATGAAACATATATTTTAGACCTTATTCCTAAAAATGCTTGTTATAATGGATAATCTTGATATCTAAAAATGGTTGGAAAATGTCTGTCCCTTATTCCAGTTCCTATAATGTGCATCTGGCAACCTCCTGGCCATTTAGCCTGTAGCCAGAACATATAACTGTTTAATTTTCTAATCTAATCAAACAAATTTTTGATGTCACCCTCATAATGAAAATAAATCCATATGATCTGTAGCTCCAGAGTGACTGATATTGCATGGGTAGCACTGGTTTCATCTTGTTATGTTTGTCATACTGTTATAAACTGAGGCTGTGAAACAAACTTTACCAATATGTGCTCATGAAAAGAAGGAACAGTGTTAATTTGCTTGGGCTTAGTATGTGCTGTATTTTCTGTTCTTCAGTGTTGTAAACATTGTCAAAGAAGTTAATCCATATTGCCTTCCTATTGCCTTATTTTTCTATGAAACCTATGTTTATCATGCGTGTAAAGATTTCTGTGTAGTGCTGGCTGTTCCTTCCTATGGTGACTAGTAGTGACCAAAACATGTAAAGGCAATCATTTGTATTAAACAGTAGAAAATAGGGCCATCACTATTCACTGTTCACTTTATTATATTCCATAAGATCTGTACAAGGTTGTGAGAACAACTATCGGATGTAGGAACAGACAGATAAAAAATCATTGCTTTACAAACAAGCAGATTGTCAAAATAAACAGTAGAAAATACGAATATAATACATGTAAAACACATTTGTCAATAAAAGCAATAAAATGAAAATAAACATATACTAGTCATTAATAAGAACCTCACAAGAAACTCCAACAATCATACCTTAATATGAAATCATTTGAAATAAGTTAATTTATCAAAATGTAAGAACACAAATAAGAAACAAGTCTAAGTTGTGTACACATCATTGTAGTATAGTTAAAATTAAAAAACGAAATATTTATTTGATACTTACAGATAAACATGAAAATGTATGTGTCATACTTATTATTATTATTATTATTATTTCTTCCTTATTCCATTACATCTATAATAGGCAAAAGCCTTAGATACAGAATTGTGTCAATTTATCTTGCTAATACTCTTAAGCAATTGTCAAGAAAACTTATAAAATAAGACAATGTATGTTTACATCATAAAACAATTTCTCTCTAGTATAATACATTAAAAGTTTAGATAAAAGTTTCCATCAAAGGTAACAGAATATTTTGGTCATATAGCTTAAACATATATAACAAATCAAAGATATAAAAACATTACATTTATAAAAATACAAAATTACAATTTCATGATGACCACACATCACTCGTCCCCAGTCCAATAATACTGTGACATGTTGTGCAACGGAGGACACCCACCTCCCCAGCGGTACGTGGTGGTAACGTAGCGCTTGCGTTACTATGGTAATAGGCGAGTCCCCGCCCCGTCACTCTCCCCAGGTGATGTAACGCGCAACGCGCGGTGACGCAACACGGTGACGCGGCACCACTTCCTACTGTGACGTGGCATGTAACAGGCACACACAGCCCCTATATAAGAGAGCTGCGCTGCCTGCGGAGTTGAGTTGTAACGTGGCCATCGCCGAAGACAGTTCCGAGTTAATTCCGAGCAAGCCTACGAGCGAGTGTGTTATCAACAGTTCTCCAGTCAGCGGACTACAGTTGGAGTATAGCAGCCGTCGCGGAAAGAAGAACCGGACGTGTGTGCGATTGTGTAATTGGGAGTGGGTGATACAGTGATACATAGCTCCCCTACTGTAAACGTGTAGACTACTGAAGACAGAGTGAACTGATTTGCGAATAGGGTTATAAATCGTGAAACCCCGCAACAGTGTAAACAGATTAATGCGATTAGGGTTATAAAGTGTGAAACCCCACAACTGTGTAATAATTAATTGTAGCCGTTTCTTGTAGGTTGTTGAATAAACCAGTTAACAATCCGAACAGCGTCTTCAGTAACCAGCAACACGTTACAATACATATAATCAGGCCTCACACAGACAGCCCAAGCTGTCAGGACAACACACACAGGTGGCGGGAAAACCACTGTCAAACCCACAACATGCCACTCCACACATATTGGCAAGCCATATCATCCAAACAGTTTATTTTATCTTGTCAATGCTATCAAGCAATTGTTAAAAAGACCTATTGTATATGACAAGTTTGTCACATCACATACAACTACTTTCTAGTACAATACACTAAAATTGTCATTTAAAATAAAATTTTAAGATCAAAACTTCTGTCAAAGTAACAGAATATTTTAGTCATATAGGTTTAACATATAGAACAAATCCAACCTATAAAAACATTCAATTATAAGTATGATTATCTCATATTCATGATGATTATTAATTTATTGTGTTACTCAACATCTTATACACTTATATAGTTGTAAAAATCATTATCGCTTAAAATATTCATCAAGTGTATAAAAAGAATTAAAATAAAGAAATTCCTTTAAATTGTTTTTGAACTTATTTATATTGTTAGAAGTTACTTTAATTTTATTAGGTAGTGCACTGTAGATCCTTACGGCCATGTGAGTTACCCCATTACCATATTTTGCCAAATTTACCTGGCTCATATGTATGTCAATATTATGTCTAGTGTTTATATCATAGTACTCCCTATTTGTATCAAATATTTATTTGTTTTTTACTACAAACATCAGAAGAGATTATATATACTGTGTTCTTAAAGGGAATATATTCATATTCTTAAACAGTTCTCTGCATGACTCTCTGAAACCACATCCATTTATTACTCTTATAACTCTCTTTTGTCTCTTAAAAACTCTTTCAGCTTGTGTTGAGTTACCCCAAAACATTACCCCATATGTCATAATAGAATGGAAGTATGCATAATAAATACTTTTTAATGTTTTTACAGACACCACTGGTTTTACATTTCTTATCATATAACAAGCTGTGTTTAATTTCTTTATTATCTCATCTATATGTCTATCCCAAGTTATATCATTTTGGATAGTCAGCCCAAGAAATTTAATGTAATTTGTGTTTAATAAAATCGTTCCTATGCCTCCCATTTCTCTATCTAAATTATGTTTTGCAGTGAAGTTTATATAATATGTTTTCAATAAATTCAGTGACATTAAATTTTGTTTAAACCAGTCCTCCAATATTCTATATACTTCATTTATTGTATTTTTAAGTTTTATTGGATTGTCTTGAGAGATTAAGAAACTGGCATCATCGGCAAATAGAACTGGAATACTCTTAGTTTCTAGAATCTTGGGCAAGTCATTTGTATATATTATAAACAACAGTGGTCCTAGTGTCGACCCTTGCAGGACACTATTAGTTACTTTAACCCATTGTGAGTATACTTTATTACTGTTTGTCCCATTGGAAATAGCAGTTCTCTGTTTTCTATCCAATAGATATGACTTATATAGGTCGTAATGTTTGTCTTTTATTCCATAATACCTCAATTTATCCAATAATATATCATGGCTAACACAATCGAAAGCCTTTTCTAAGTCACAGAAGATCCCAGAGACTTGCATTTTTTTATTTAAAGAGTCTAGTATTCCAGAGATAAGTCTATAAATTGCATTTTCAGTCCCTTGCTTTTCTCTAAATCCAAATTGTTATTTATTTAATATACTATTATCATTCAAATGTTTTAACAATCTACTATGCATTACCTTTTCAAAAATCTTACTAATAGATGTCAATATGGATATAGGTCTGTAACTTGATTCTATATTTTTATTACCTTTTTTGTATATTGGCATAATTGTAGCATATTTTAATCTGTCTGGGAAAATACCCTCATGCAATATATAATATATAAGTGTCACAAAATTAACAACCTAACAAATAAATTCAAATGGGGTCATATTACATGCTTATATCTGCATAAATGAGTAATAAATTTTAACATATTTAAAATTATGGTAAACAACTGAAGTATTTATATAGGTGGATTTATCAATTGGATTCAGTAGGAAGATTATTATATTTTATATTTAAAAAATTCATCAATGCTATAAAATGAGTGAAGATAAAGAAATTGAAGTAATGTCGCCTTAAAAAAGGTTGATATTGCCATACAGCTGTTTTATGTTAATTGGGAGATTATAAAATATCTTAATTCTGATAAATTGAGTACCTTTCTGAAAAATCGATAATTTAGCAGATGTAAGATAAAGATTAGAAATGTTTCTAGTCGTAATCGAATATGCATCCGAATTTTTAGTAAACATTCCCCAATTGTTAACTACAAACATTAAAACAAAAAAATATATAGAGAGGGCAGAGGTAATATTTTAAGCGAAGAAAATATCTTCCTACAAGGATCTTTATAACCTACACCAACCATAATTCTAATAACTCTTTTTTGAAATCTAAAAATGCGCATACTGTGATATGAATTCCCCCAGAAAATCAAGCCATAAGACATTATAGAATAAAATAGGCAAAATCATTTTGAGGGTATCAATATTTAGAAATTGTTTAGATCATCTAATAATCTAACAGGCTGTATTCAGTTTCATTATAATTGATTCAGTGTGTTTTTTCCACGTTAATAGGTTATCCAGCATCAGTCCTAGAAATTTTACATCATTTTGTTCACGTAAATTATTATTACCATAGGTAATATTTAGATGCTCGAGGTAACCCTGTTTTGCAGAGAATTTCATACAGCAAGTTTTGTCAAGATTCAGCGAAAGCATATTAGAATGAAACCATTCGTTCATTAATTTTAATACAATCGAAAGTTTGTTTTCTAGATTCATGAAGTTGAAATCATTTGTTAATACACTTGTATCATCAGCGAATAAAATTATTGAGGTATTATGAGGGCCAAAGCGCTTGATAAATGAAGGTAAGTCATTAATATAGACCAAAAACAAAAGTGGACCCAGAATCGATCCCTGTGGAACACCTTTGGTAATTTTTCCCCATTTAGAGAATATGTTATTAAATTTTACTCTCTGATATCTATTAGTAAGGTACGATTCTAACAATAAATGCATCCTACCTTTTATTCCATAATATTTTAATTTAGATAACAAAATTGTATGGTCCACACAATCAAAGGCTTTTTCTAGGTCGAAAAATATGCCGCCACACTTCTTTTTATTATTTAAAGTAGACAAGATGATAATAGTAAGTTTAAATATAGCATTGGTAGTTGATAATTTATTTCTGAATCCGAATTGATCGTTAGTAAGGATGTTATTGGCTTGAAAATGCATAAGTAGTCTCTTGTAGATAACTTTTTCAAAGATTTTAGAAAAGGAAGGTAATAAAGAGATTGGTCTGAAATTTGCTACATTATTTAAAGCACCTTTTTTATGTAGTGGGACAATAATTGAATATTTCATTGTCAGGAAAAATCCCTGTAGATAAAGACTTATTTATTATATAGCATAAAGGAGAAGCAATAAATGGTGCACTGATTTTTAAAAGCTTCAAAGGAATTTCGTCGAAACCCTGTGAATTTTTCCAAGCAAAGTTCTTTATAATTTTTAAAATCTCACCGGTAGAAGTGTTATGTAAATTGATATTATTGTACTTAAGATTATAAAGCTGAGCCAAGTTGTATGGAGAGTAGTTCGTATTGTTTGTATTTAACTTATTTTTATTTTTAATCTTTTCAGAGATATTAACAGCCATTTTTATAAAATATTCATTGAATTTTTCAGCATTAATTTTAGAAGAGAGTTCTTTATTGTTTTCATCCATGTTATCTATAACTTGCTCATTGATATTTCTTCCTACGTTCGATTTTATAATATTCCAAGTAGCTTTGACTTTATTATTATTATTATTATTATTCATTATATTCACATATTTATACAAGACTTTTAATTAATATTAACTGATATTGACTAATTATTTTTAACAAACACAACATATATTAATTACATTAATATTTTAGTTAAGTCTCAATTTATAAATTGTACTGTAATTGAGTTTGGTACTCTTAGTTAATTTTGTTGAAAAGATAATGTAAGTAAACATGTGAATTAATTTACATAATGTTTATTGAAGATATAAACATTGTGTAGTGATGGTGATGGGATATAGAAGCCAACTGAAAAGTAAAAACAGAAAATTGTTTAATTGAAGCAGTTCAGCTTATTTCATACATATGTCCTATTCAGGATTTAAATGGTGGGATTACACATTTAATAAGAGATTTTAGTTGTTGCGCCATAAGAATTGTATGCGCAATAAATGAACGTGCAGGCCAAATAAGCATGTAAAATTTAAAAATATTTCAGAAATATGCGTACTCCAGATTGGAGTGTGGCTGCTGGGCTGTTTTAATTCACCTTGATACACGCAGATGTGTGCATTATGAGGGGAATTACACTTTTAGATCTAAAATGTATCTGCTACAGCACAGCAAAATGAAATCTTAATGAAAATAATTAATGTATTTTATGTATACTAATATATTATTTGTGTTTCTTGTCTCATACTTTTTGCATAGTTACAGACAAATGACTTTAGCAGAGTAAATTTCTTTTTATTGTTCATTTCAGGACCTGATTAATTGTATAGGTGTGCAAGTATTGTCCAAAATACTAGAAAGACTAGTAAAAAACTACCGAGTATTTTGCAGTGGTTTCCCCGACCTCCTGGTATGGAATCCAGTCACTTTTAAGGTGAGATGAATAAAATTTTCTCCACATTGAAAACTTGTTAAGTTCCTAGAAAGTTTTTAATACATATTTTTCATTTGTTAGGAAAATAGTTTGGATTTTGTGATAACTTTTGATCCATTTTAGTAATACACTTGAAATTAATATATTGATGGTGGAGGATTATAAATCTATCAGTAAATTCTGTATGAAACAATATGTTGTAAAATATTGTCACATGTTTGTGTGTGTGACTATAGATGGGGTATGGATTGGATACTGGATTTATTGACCACTTATATACATCACTTGAAACTACACTTTACAGATCACTGACACAGACTAGTGTCCTCAGTCTATTACAGTCTCCACTAGCCGTTTCTTAGCAATGGCTTCTTGCAGTGAAGATTCTTCAGCTTCCCGCTCTCACGTTGTTACTACCCAGCAAGTATGTCACAACTGAACTCTTGGCAACTATCAAGTTCTCAGCCTTCCTTGCAGAGCTCGACTCAACTGCCAGCCCTCAAGTGAACTCTCTCACTCACCAATCGACTACTTCACGTCAATTCACTCAACTGTACTGCTGACAGCTGCTGCCTACAGCTTGGCTGGTGTCCTTGTTATATAACCATGGGGTGAACCCAACAGAAATCACAGCCTCCAACAGTCCTATTGTTATCATGGCAACATCCTAGCAATAGACTGGATATTGTTTCCAAGAGAATGTGTTTGCCTAGCCGTTGCTTAGAAATGGGTGTTTATTTATCCGCCTATTGCATAGCAATGGCTGTGCCCATCCGTTTCGAGGTCTCTGCCAAGCAGTGTGTCTATATGCTACAATGCTCTGTCCTTAAGGCTATTTCTCCTGAATAGCCTACAGGCGTACTGCCATTTCTTCTTTTCTGAGAGTTGTGCTTGCGACGTCCGTGCTTGGCCTCACCTTCGTCTCTGTGACTCAGTTTGCACTGTGTTTGCTCTCCAGCTGGTCCCACTGCTCATCCCAAGCAGCTCCCTGATAAGGTGACAGTCCAGGTGTATCACCTTCATGTTCCTCTGATCATTGTAGGCAGAACTACCTATAGTGGCTGGTATACCAACAGTTCTGTTTCTTACTCTTTTTGCATTCTCTTCTTTCGTTTTGGAGGGGGCTAACCCCTCCACAATGTCCTGGCTGTCATTTTCTGCAGTCTAATGGAAGTTGGACTGTTTGCTTTGCGACCTCCATCTCTGTGGTCTTTCTGAAGGTCTTGTTGAGTGTTGTTCAGTTTCCCAAATGAAATCGCTGTCTTGAGCCTCAGTTCCTTATTCCAGTGATGTTTTCTGGTTTCTCCTGGCGTCTAGTCCTGAACGTCCTTCATTTCTGGGTTCCTTGTACAGCCATGTCATTGCCTTATCCTTTATGCTATGCAGGAATTGCATGGCAGGTCATCTTTCTTCAGGCAGCGTCCAACTTCTTATGGGACCCACCATTGCCCTGGGTCCAGTTCTTCAGCTGACTGCGGCACCTTACGGCTAGATGGCGGTTCCCATACCACTTCTTTAGCACTGTAAAAGTTTCCATTGCAGCCTCTTCCTTAGGATCTCATGCTCCACTTTGGATTCTGCCTTTAGTGTTGTTGGCTTCTTACTCTCCAGACAGGCCTCTGTCACTTCTTGGCAGGCTGTCATCTCTTCTCAACATGCCCACATTTCTGCTAGCCAGACATCCATCTTGGCCATCATCTTGACCTCAAACTCTTCTATGATGGCTAGCAGGCTTTCTGTTATTGGTTCCATCATTTGTTCCATTTTTATAGACTGACAATACAGTGATCCAAGAGCCAATACAGTGTCCAATCCATCTGTTTCTGACACCAGAATGTCATGTTTTTGGGGTGTGTGACTATAGAGAGGGTATGGATTGGATAATGGATTTACTGACCATATATATACACCACTTGAACTACATTTTTCAGATCACCAACACACACACACAGACTAGTGTCTTCAGTCTATTACAGTCTCCACTAGCCGTTTCATAGCAACTGCTTCTAACACAGTGGAGCTTCTTCAGCTTCCCCGCTCTTATCATTACTGTCTGGTGAATATCCTGCAACTGAACTCTTGTCAACTGTCAACTATAGGGTCTCTCTTCTCAGCCTTCCTTGCAGAGCTCGACTCAACTGCCAACCCTCAACTTAGCTTTTTCACTCACCAACCAACTACTTCACATTCTCTCAACTGGACTGCTGACAACTCATGACTACAGCTCAAAGTCTGAATCACAGTCCAAGTCACATTGCTACTCACTGTCAGTCAGTCAGTAAGTCTTGGTGTTTAGCCTCATCTGGGGCTCATGATCAGATATTTATTACTGTTTGACAGTTATGGTCTTGTTTTTTTGGGGCACCCTCTGTGACGAGAGGATGGATTTGTCTTTTGTATATGGCTGTTTTAAAACTCAAACTCATTATCTCCTACATGATATCATGCAAAGGGAGAAACACTAGCTACAGGATCATTACAGTTACTCATAATAAGAGAACAGAGCCCTTGAAAATATCCAACTTTTATAAGATAGTTTTTCATTAAAATGGAAAATAACAGTGCAATTTCCTCTCAGAGTATTTTTTATTTTATGGCATCTGAAAATAATTAAAGAATAGATACATTCTCTACAATTTTATGTATGGGTCCATCCTTCACAGAAACCAGGGTCAATTATTTTGTTTTCTTCACCAGGATTTTTTTTCTGTCTGAACTATATTGTCTCCTGTTTTCTTTATAGTATAAATTTGTGGAAGTGAAGGGTCCAGGTGACCGATTATCCATTGCACAACATATGTGGCTTAACTACCTCACCAGCTGCAATGCAAAGGCAGAAGTATGTTTTGTAGAAAGTAAGTAGAATATTAAACTTGTTGGTTTTCTGATTCCAACAGCAGTGACTATCAAGAGTCCTGCTTTTTGAGATATGTTGTGTATTCTGTTGAATATCCATTGACGTTTTTGAGGAATGTATCCCCACTATCTTCAGGGTCTATGAGTAAGCCAAGCAAGAAAACAGCATGAAGCAGGCAACAAGCAGAGCTGTGCTTGCTGCATTATGGAGAACTGCATACTGCCTTGAAGTCAGGTGAAAATGAGCCAACATTTTGGAGGAACATATGCTTGAAGACAAAGCCAAGCAAGAAATCAGCATGGAGCAGGCAATAAGTACACCTCAGAATGCACCATGCATCATGCGAGTTTGTTGCTTAGCTTACTGTTCAAGCAGGAAGATGGTAGTGACATTTTCCTGAAAAGTATCAGTTGCCTTTTACCAGACTACATGGCATTATATCCCAGAAGATAGAACTCCTGAGCATAAATTTTGTTTTCTGAATTCTGACTTCATGAGCAATGCTAAGAAAGTGTTAGATCTGGTGAAAATTGCATATTACCATGATCTTCATCATCAGCTCGTTGATTACTGGAAAATTTGAGAGTGACTTGCAAATACTTCTTTGGGCTACATTATCTGTGTGTAAGGTCCTCTCCAGACAGTGGAATGGTACTTCTCATTTACTTAAACCTTTACATGTTCCTAGGCTGTTGGTGTAGTTGTATCTCAGACCTTTATTCAGGAGATTCCTGGTTTGTGTTTTAATTTGGTTACTGGCTATCCTGACAGCCTTTCCTGAATATTCACAGGAAAATAGGAGGATTATATCTTTCATATAATCCACTAGTTCAACCTTTCAAATCTTGACCTGTTTGCCATTCATAATAATTTAATTTCATTCAACACTTTATAATATTTACAATTGAAACGATGTCATTAAATAATCCAAGAAATGGTCAATACATGGTGATCATGAATGATCGTGGTTTTGCCAGAGAGGACAAGAGATAGCAAACTTTTTGTGATCTTGCATTTAGTTGTGACCTCATTGCTTATGTCTCAAGATTTTATGTGCCCCTTGTGTGAGAATTGAAGGTAAGGATTAAACAGTTATGATCTTTTAGTTGACCAACATTGGCATTATTTTCCTACTACTTTGGCTAATCTATCTGAAAGTCTCTGCATGTTGCATTATCATGTGTGTCATTCAAGACAGCATATTTATAGCGATCAACACAACAATTTAAAAGTGTCTGGGACATGCATAAAGTATTGTACAGTGGAACCTCGCTTAACGAGCATAATTCATTCCAGAATCTTACTCGTAATGCGAAATACTTGTTAAGCGAAACAATTTTTCCCATATAAATTAATGTAAAATACGATAATGCATTCCATGCGGAAAAAAGTACTCAAAAAATTTTATGCATAACGTTTATTCAAAGAAAATTATATATACATTGTTAAGGAGCGTGAATCATCTTCATCTTTTCTTCTATGCGGAATGAACCAACCTGGAATGCAAATTCAATTTGCGGAAAAAAAATCGAAATGATTAGTTTATTATTTATGATACATATCTAATTCTTTTTTACTAGAAAACTGTCTAGAGACATTTGGTTTTGCCGATGCTTCAAAATTTGGTGAAAATGCGACACAGCATTATCATTAAATAAATTCGTAGCGCGCATAGCCACTGCCTTATTAGGTGATGCTTTTCAATGTATGATGTAACAGTTTCCCATGCTTTCAGCATTTCTCTTATTACGCCAGAAGATTGTTGCTTTGCTGTTACCTCCTCCTCCTCCTCTGACACACTCTCCTCCACTACTTCTTGCTGTGAAACACAATGCAACTCCAAATCGTGCAAATTCGTTGATGTAGACCGATTGTATGTGCGTGCTAGATCAGCCACGCTCACACCTCATTCTCGCTTTTCAATGATTTTATGTATCATTTCTGCAGTTATTTTTATTGTCTTATGGCTGTATTTTTGCGGCTTTTTCTTCGGGGACATTTTTGCAAGGGTTATTAAACTTTGCACAAAAAAAAAATCACAAATAATATGTCTGAACACAAGTTTGGAAAAATGTGTGATCACAGGCAACACTAAGATGCTAGCGGAACGAGTGCTAAACACAGACTGATGTAGCAAGCGCACAATCTGGGACTTCCCCTCCCGTCACTCGTTATGCAAAACGTCGCTTGTTAAGCGAGTCATTTTTTTACAATTTGTTTTGCTCGTTATGCGAATTACTCATTATGAGAGGTGCTCATTAAGCGAGGTTCCACTGTACTTCTTACTTTTAGAAATTAGCCTCTAATATAGGAAGGAGAGGCAGTAAGGAAAGTTTACAAATAAAACCTTATACTTGCTAAATTAACAGTTGTACTTATATCTGATTTTGTTATAGCAACAGGTGCAAGGATGCTGAAAAGAAAAATTAAAGATGTACCTGCCGGTGAAGATGTGTGATTTTCATGCTTATATTAGGAAAACCAGTGCAGATGATGAGGAAGACTGTGTGTGATTATCATATCAGTACTGTTGTCAGGAGAAATTGCAATTCAAGGGAATAGTGTGTGAACCAAAGATCAGTTGTAAGTGATGGGTAGGGCACATGTGGTTAGATTTAATTTGATGAAAAAGAAAAGATCACTAGTATCGTATAGATACTAGTATAGTCTCTGCTGACTGACATTAGCAGCCCATGGTTAGAACAGGTGTTCTGTCATTATATGCTTTGGTAAGTAAGGGTCACACAGTGGCAGGTTGTAGTTCAGAAGTCACTCCATATGGAAATACAACTGTATGTTCATTTTCCCTTACTCTTTGTTGGTGAGGCATGCATGAAAGCACAGTTTTGGGACACTCAGTTGAGTAGTGAATCTACCAACTTCTCCATCCTACCAGAGCGACAGCTAAGGTGAGAAATGCTGTGGCATACAAGGCACACAATACATACAACAGATTCAAAGCAAAACGTTAAAGCTTTTATGAGTGAAGAGACCTGAACACGTTTACATTAGATGCCTTCAGTTCAATGTTCTGACCATTTGCAGCCACTCAGGTGGGAGCTTTTGCCACTGCTGGTATGGCATGCCTCAACCTTTTAAATAGATACTCTGCCTTGCTTTCCTTTTGTGTGTATGCATGTGTGTGCATGCATGTGTACAGTTGTTTTTTTTCAGATTCTAATATACGTTTCATTTGGTACACACCGTTTTTTTTCATAAATGTCTTTTTGTGGATGGGATTTGACCATGTTTTGTATTGTGTTTCTTGTTCAGAATGCTATTTTTATTTGCATTTCTTTGAAAAGATCTGTAATTTTCTCTGTTTCTTTTCCACAACAACATGACTCCATTAATTTTCTGGTTCTTACAATACACCACAAACAAACAAACTCCGTGACTTTAGTCTGCAAGCGAACTATACCGGCTGAGTGACCGCAGCTTGTTGGCGAAGTTAGTACCAACTCTAGTGGATAGAGGGTGTCACGTGATCAGCTAAAGACATCTCTCCTAGACCGGAGCTGATACTTTTCTCCATTCAAGTAGCTCCTCAGTTATCCTCATGAGGCTGAGTGGACCCTGCTCCAGACCCACTACTTCTCAGAAAATCTGGTAGCGCCGTTAATCGAACCTGGGACCTCTGGATCTGTAGCCAGGAACTCTGACCACTAGACCACAGAGGTTGTCACAGTACACCACAACAGAACAAAATTAGAATTTGTTTTATATAGGAAACCTACACAGACATATATCATAATACCTACATTATGAGGAGGAACTTGTTTCAAGAGCATGTACAGGTTCTTAGGATTCTAGCCTAGATCTGCCAATTTTGTACTATGCTTTGAAATACCGATGTTGCTATATTTGCTTGTGATAACTGCTGCCTTTCTGTGTTAACTGTAAAGAATTCAGGACAGTACTTTCACAAGGCGTGTATGTAATGATTGATTTAAATATGTATTTTAAAATGAAAAGAATGTGTTTTGATAAGGAAAACATACGTGTCTTTCAGAGTCAATTTAGAGCTGTAAAATCTAGCACAAGGGCTGTAAAAACATGCTGTTTGTGTCAGAATTTTATGCATAGGAAAGGAAGTTTTGTACCTTTTTCACCTTTGATTATATTTGTAAAAAAGTTATGTCAAAATATGATAATGGGTGGCCCAAGTATTCTCTAGACAATTTCAGTGATTTATTTACAAGATTTATTCTGGAAAGAAAATTACACCTCACTTTTTAATTACCATTGTTGTTAGATCATGTCAGAATTGGCGTTGAAAGGATTATTGCTGTTAAGTAGACTCCACCGCATAAATTCAGCCAAGTAAGACTCCAAATGATGTCATGTGGTGTTTCTTGTTACACAGTTTGCCTGATACCCACATTTCTTCTCCATTTTCCATATGCATTCCTCATGCTGGAATGACAGATTTGCACTTCTGGTTGACTTTCAAATGCTTAAAAGCTATGTTCTCCAGATCCTTTGTCTTCTGTTTGCACCGACTCTCTGAATGGACAGTGGAATCTTTTCAGCGTTTTTCACAGTGGCAGTACCAGCACCTAGACTTGACACTGTCACCAAGAAATTATCTTAAAATTTTAATGTTTCTTGGGTCACCCTTTAACACTTAAGTACCCAAAACATTATTTTTTATTTTATTTTCATACTCGAGATTGAAATAGATGTAAGGTAGGGCTGAAAATATAGTGCCATTTTGTTTTGGTAAATTATAGGCCTTATATTACAAAAAGAAAGTATATCTGGCAGTTGTAGCCTTAAACATTTAAACATGTATTAATTCTTAATCCTTTTGGAAATGTAAGTGATTAGCATCTTATCAATAATTGAAAAGTCGTGTTTTTTCAATAAATGCAATTTTTTTTTAATTAAGTTCAGTACCTACATAATTTTGCAAACTTAGAATTCTATTGAAGAAAGTCGTCTTCTGGGTTTAGGCACTGTGTATTCTTCGTTTTGGCCGACGTTTCGGAGGAACGTAGCGCCTCCATCTTCAGAGCAGTTGAATGGCTTGGAATGCGGAGAGCAGTAGCACAGCTATTCAACTGCTCTGAAGATGGAGGCGCTATGTTACTCCGAAACGTCGGCCAAAACGAAGAATACACGGTGCCTAAACCCAGAAGACGACTTTCTTCATTGTCATCGCCGTGAAAACCTCAAAACTTACTTAGAATTGTATTGTTTCCACCATTATTGCTGTATGTGTATCCTAAGTGCATGTCTGCTTTTTGTATGTACAGTATCTAGGATGCTGAGCTAAAACTTTTCTGCTGTATTCTTATCCTCTCTTTGTTTACCAGTGATACTAGTCCTGTTATGTAGCCTGAATATATACATAGCCTGACATTTAAACAACTGGGTTGATTCTGTAGAACAAAATATTTTACATTGTCACTCTCCTTAGTGAGTGTGATCACATTCAGATTAACAGCTTTTGACTGCATATATGCATTCCAGTATCTCTGCTATGACTAAGGACACTGCTGGAAATGATTTAGTAAAAGTCTTTTGAAGACTTTTCTCATTGCTTTGAATGTCAAGTCATCTAAGTAAGACACTTTCAACAACATTTTTTAGTTTCAGGTAGATGAAAAAGTAATATGCAACAGTGTTAGGTGAGTATAGTATACATTCTAACTCTGGTATTTGTTTTTTGACCAAGAATTGCTTTACTGTAAACACTGTAAAGGAAGGTGCATTTTGATAATTCAGGATGTGGCCATAGATTTGGTGGTTTTCAACAAATGCTGCCATAAATGTCCCAAGACTTAGAGATAAAATGCTTATTTGATTTGAGGAACATATTTGTAATAATTAATTAATTTGATGTGAAAGAAATAAATGCATATACTTTTGATTTTCGTTTCGATGTTTTGTGTTTCTTATCCTCAGTAATGTCAGGGTTCATTTCTGGATCCATATTGGACCAGTCACTATTTTTGCCAGTTATTTAGCTTACTACAACAGTCTTTCCATTGTTGTGTCATTAAAGAACTGCAAAATAAACTGAGCCAGTGACTCTTAGATTCATGATCCAGTGCACAGTCTGGTTATTTATTGGATCTTATACATGTATGTAATTGTTACAGATAAAGCTGGATGTATTTCTGTTTGCATAATACATTTTCCAAGCATATGTGTGATGTGATCTCAAAAATGCCAGTCTAGAAAACCGAAATTAATGGCCATGGGGATTCGTTGTGCTGACCACACAGTACCCTCTATCTGCTAAAGTTGGCACTAACTTCACTGGCAAGCGGCAGACTCTCAGTTGGTATAGTTTGTTTTCAGAATAAAGCCACGGAGTTTTTTGTTTGAGCTCAAAAAGTATGAGTAAAAGCCATTGAATAGTTTTTTTATTGTTTCTATCAGCTGCACATTAATATTTGTTTTTATTAGTTGAAACTTCTTTTGGTATCTTGAATGTAGTTGACAGCTTCATTGCATGCTGTTAAAATAGATAATGCAAACAATTTTCATCATTCTAATTATGTGCTATTTTTCTTGTCAATTTATATGAGTTTTGTTACAGCAACAGAAACAGAAATGAAGAAGCAAATGTCATGATCCACTGCAGCAAGGAAATGCAGTGCATTTGAAAGGAGATATTTCATGTTTAAAAGTAAAATTTCCACTATCACATCTTACATTGGTACAGACTCAACAGAATATTGTTTGTTGCTACCTTTCCCTCTCTTACATCCCTTAATTTTAGTCTTTCTTAATCTTGTGCACAAAGGCAACCTCTTCTTGTAGCGGGTTACTTGCACCTACAGTCACAAATTGTCTGTTGCTTGTTTGGTTAGTGGAATGACTGGATTGACTTTTGGGCCATTGCAGCCAATGAGATAATTGTAGTGAAGGATGATATTATGAAGATCAAAGTGAAAAAGAATATAATAGTAAGCAGGCCATTCATTCATTTGATATACAGTCCCTTTTTTCAGGGTGTCTCTTAAAACACAACCCCTACTTGTCCCCACTTAGATGGAAAGCATGTTCTCGCGATCATTGCATAGCAACGGTGCTGCGCGTTATGATATATTTCAACAAAATTCAGCAGTAATTGGAACTAATTTGGCAAAGTTTTAGAACAATGAACTAGAAAAAGTAAGGCAGCAGAGTAGCTACACAAAAGCATCTCTTTACATGATGATCTTATAAGGTCAAAACATGTCACAGAAGTAATATAAAAAGTGACACTGTAGAATACCAATTAAGAGCAGGACAAGAAGTTTCACATTCAATATTGATCCAGCAAATTAAATTGTAGAATATTTAGTTTAGTTCTTTGTGAAATTATTCTCTATGTCATGAAAACATGTTGTTAACGAACTGCTTCTAAGAAAATTGTTAGGTTCGATTCAAATTCCATGTAATTACGTGTGGCCAATCATTTTCACTTGGGGAATAGCAAATTTGAGCTTTAGGTTTTTAAACTTTTCTTGGGTGGCCAATTTTTCTACTTCCTCATGATGTATAATTGAAGACTTGTCTTGGTATTCACACTTAATTCAGTCTTTGCAAGTGTGAATAAGATGCAAAATAATAAAATATATTTCTTTTGGCTTATTTTGGACTTCACCCATCGTCTGGTATGTAAAAGACAAAAAACCACGACGTTTCGGAGACTGGCTCTGTCTCCGAAACGTCGTGGTTTTTTTGTCTCTTACATACCAGACGATGGGTGAAGTCCAAAATAAGCCAAAAGGAGTACAGTATACACCATCGTCAGAATCCTTTCAAGTCAGTAAAATATATGTACACTTGGAGAGGACAGAGGGAAGTGGGAAGACTCAGTAGAAGATGATGGTGACTGTTTTAAATCAAATGAACATTAGAACAGGCTTGAATACTAGTCCTGGAAAAAGGATATGGCGCGAACTCCAATGCCGTCAGGGTCTCAAAACTGACAAGTGCTCGTAGATAAATACTGCCTCTACGCGTTGGTGGTGACAAGTGGAATTACGAATGTGCTTTGGATATGTATGGAGTTTCAACACAGAAACATAGATGGCAGTGTATATACCACAACATATTAAGCCACTTCCGCTTTATTTCCAGCCTGTCACATCGATTACCCGTGTTATTATTATTGTTGTTTATGTGTTGGGGTAGGTGAGGGTGTTTTTGTAAGTTTTAATAAGATGTTCATGTGCATGAACGAGAGACTAAATAATCCATGTTTCTGAGTGCAGTAGGGAAAGTACTGTCAGTCGTGATTTTAACTGCTGCGAGTTCAATAGACAGCGATCAAGTTCGACAGCGTTCGACAGTGTCCATGCTGTGACTTTTCGTAAAGGAAGGTTGGGTCATTAATGTCAATGGCTCATGAGTTGTAGGATCCTTTACGTGCTATCGCTGTAAGTATGTCGAATTCGTTTAAGTAAAATAGCATCTTTTGCCAGTGCAGTTGTGTAGGTTTAATAAATGGATGTGTCACTTTAAGTAGTCTTACTCAACATCCCTTTGATATTATACAAGGAAATTTACTGTAATGTAGCACGTTTCACATTAATAGTCGAAAAGGAATTAATGTACTTAATTCAATCAACTCGTAGCCTTCATTCACTATGTATTTCATTC